AAATTCTCCACTGTCCATACGCAGGGGTCTTTCGTACCCGCACCATTCCTGTTATCTCACTTGTGATGTCACGGCCAGTGTCATGATTACATTAGCCAATTGTTTGGTGGTTAATTTAATATCCAATAGGAAAATAATGTACAAGGAAACAGCCAATGAATGAACATTAACTAAAGTAGAGGCTATGAATTTCTATTTTCAAATTAGTATCGCCATAGCTTGTGTGTGTGGGTGTCGTATCAATCCATACCAAGTTATAAAAAAATATTTTGAAGACGAGGCTAGCTGGAAACTATTACATGAATACGAGTGCTACCCTGTGAACTTCTTTGTGACCAGCTGTCACTCACACAGACTTCTCTGACACTCCCACTTCCACAAGTCGATCCATTGATATCAACGACCCTCACCTCAACTCCTCCTCTGCATTGGTATCTTATAGGGTTTATTTTTACTGAAGTGACAAGATGTTCTGTACTTGGCATGTGTACGAACAGCATGTAGAAGCGCCCGACACCAACTCTGTCCGACACTCTCTCCTGCCGTGAATATGTGGAAGATTCTTTGTTTTCCTAGGCAGGGCAGGCGGCAGCAGCACCCCATGGGGTGGTTGCTGGGGGCACAGCCCCTGCATTAGATAATATAGTGACAATCAGTACCGTGATTCCAGCAGAGATCGAGAATTCCATACTGCACACGCATGTATCAGAGTGCACGATTCTGGTTTGGAATTGACGTCCTGCCATTTCTGATGAAACGAACCATGACAATAGAAATCAAATGAATCTAGTTTCATCCTGAATCTTTTTCAAAATTTACTAATACTCATGGCTCTTTTTGCAAAGGTTCCTTCACATACCACTCATAGTAATGACTGGGTTCCTTAAAGAAACAAAGACAATATAAGATTACTGCAGCGGGTATGTTTTACAAAAACTTACAACAAACTTTTGCTCAAAATAATTCTTGTCTATTCCCTGGGTCCCCCAATAACGGTCCATTCCTCCACAAGCCCCCTTTAACGTGAACACAAAAACAAATACTTCCTCTCTTTACTCCTAAACAACCTGTATCCCTGAAACAACCCAAGGAAAAGAACAGAAAAGGAGAAAACATGAGGCCCGAAATCCCCCAAGACATGACCCGACGTGAATCTCCTCCAACTGACGCGGGAAACAGACATGTCAACCGCAACATGTCCCCTTTATTCTCCCTTTTCTCCCGCTTACCACTTCAATAT